AGCTGCGGGACTGGTGTTGTCCAGGTCTTCTCGACGGTCACACACCTCTTTGGCATTCATGACACCAGGTGACACTAAAATATATCTTTTCTTGAGAGCAGAAGACATCATCACACTTGAGGGCCTGTCACGTAGACGAGGCATGACGTGTTGAAGACGAGTGTTAAGGAGGAGATACCTGGTTGATGGGGTTCTGGGAGTTCTTCTACTCCCCAAGCCCGGCCCGAGGCCAGGCTTGACTTGTGAGAGTTTGGTCCACCAGGCTGTTGCTTGGAGCGGCCCGCAGGCCCACATACCCATCACAGCCCGGTTGGTCCGGCGCTCCTTAAAGAAAACTATCCAGTTTTCTCCCTAAACGTTAGGTTGTCAGACATCATTGTTCCCAAATCCTTGACATGCTGCCTTCCTACTATGGGCAGATTTGATTGTGTTTTGTACCCTGTATTATGTTTAAGGTTCTTATTTTTACCGTACCTGAGTACATGGAATTTATCACTGTTAAACATCATGCTATTGTCTGCTGCCCAGTCGAAAGCTTTATTAATATCAGCTTGTAGTTTTTCAATGTCTTCAGCCGAGGTAATTTTCATGCTGATTTTTTATTCATCTGCAAAGGATGATACGAAGCTGTGACTTGTACTTTTGTCTATATCTGATATGAGAATAAGGAAAAACAGTGGTGCAAGGACTGTACCCTGAGGTACAGAGCTTTTAACTAAACTTGGACTCGATTTTATATGGTTGACTGTTACTCTCTGTGTTCTGTTCTACAGAAAAATGAGTATCCAGCGTCCTACTTTACCAGTTAATCCCACTGACCTCATTTTGTGTGCTATCACTCCATGGTCACATTTATCCGATGCCTTTGCAAAATCCCTGTATACCATATCTGCAGAGTGCAGATATGGTATGGAGAGCCGCTAGACTGTGACATCGACAGCACAGATTCAATAAGTGGTTACTAAAGTTCCATCCTGCCAAATGCAAGGTAATGAGGATGAGGCACAAAAAGATAGAAAGCAATCTTATCAGCTGAGAGGGAAGTAACCCAGGACAAAGTACCCTTATGGAGGACATCATATCGAAATTAACAATTTAAGCACGTCAACAGGACCTTGTGGTGGACCTCACACAGGACCTGAGGAGTGAGACACGTCAACAGGACCTTGTGGTGGACCTCACACAGGACCTGAGGAGTGAGACACGTCAACAGGACCTTGTGGTGGACCTCACACAGGACCTGAGGAGTGAGACACGTCAACAGGACCTTGTGGTGGACCTCACACAGGACCTGAGGAGTGAGACACGTCAACAGGACCTTGTGGTGGACCTCACACAGGACCTGAGGAGTGAGACACGTCAACAGGACCTTGTGGTGGACCTCACACAGGACCTGAGGAGTGAGACACGTCAACAGGACCCTCAGATGGACCTCACATAGAACTAAATACTGAAGCCCAGATTCTCAGGAAATACAAGGACAGCCTCGAGGGTGCCCCGCAGGAACTCCTCAGGATCCTGGACAAAGGTGCTTTAATAAACGTATGCCAGACCCACTCTTGAGCGTGCAGCTGGGTCACCAAGCTCAGTGCCGCGTCGCCATGACTATCACTAAACATCTACTCGGCCGCCATGCTTAATATGACGTAGTGTTGTGTTAAAGGCGCCTTAAAGATAGAAACACTGGATAATACGTTCCTTGGGCCATACCAAAGCTCGTTTACTTAGATAATTATAACTGCAGTACCGGGATACATGATAGAGCAACAAAAGGCTCTCCTCTTTCTCTCCACTCATATAAGTTCATATTGCCATCATGTCATAAATAGAAATCAATACTTACCCATAAAGTTATAAATTGGAAGTTTCTACGAAAGAAGGACAATTAGGAATATTGAACCTTGCTACCAGTGTTACTAGTAGCAGTGTTATTTATGTGGATCAGGTAGCCTGACAATACCTCAGTATTGTCAGTGGTAGCCTGACAATACCTCAGTATTAATACTTTGTCACCAAACCCTACATGCATCACTTGTAATAGTGTTCTCCCTCTATGCTATATCCCTCTATGTAGATACAAATGTGTTTCTGTACAACTTATTGACATTAGTCAATAATTAGGCTATTACCAATCTCAGTGAGGGAGGATATTGAGCCACACGATCCATTTTCCTATTTGTGTCTGCTGCCATTTTATTTGAGAGTGATAATTGCAGAGCGCCTCATTACATTGGTCTGAAACTTAAACCACCTGTTTGTTTGCTTGGAAAACGATGCATGTTAGGAAAACTGACAGCGTGACTGTCCCTCTGGTGTCCGTTTCTCGAATTAATTTATATTTGATCGTACCCGGAAGAGGTTATGTTGACTTGATGTTGGCAACAATACAGTCAGGGCATGCAACAGTGTCTGCATGACTACATACGACCTCTGAAAATGTTAGTTTAATGTTGTTAATGATGCCAAGAGTATTTATTCTGATTAATATTATGTGTAAGTGTTCAAGGTGGATTGAATATCTAGGGAGAGGCTATTGTATTAGTACCACAGGGTTGTGTGTTGTTATCCCGTGGTTGTTCACTGTATTAGTACCACAGGGTTGTGTGTTGTTATCCCGTGGTTGTTCACTGTATTAGTACCACAGGGTTGTGTGTTGTTATCCCGTGGTTGTTCACTGTATTAGTACCCCAGGGTTGTGTGTTGTTATCCCTTGGTGGTTCACTGTATTAGTACCACAGGGTTGTGTGTTGTTATCCCGTGGTTGTTCACTGTATTAGTACCCCAGGGATGTGTTGTTATCCCTTGGTTGTTCACTGTATTAGTACCCCAGGGTTGTGTGTTGATACCTGGTTGATGGTGTTCTGGGAGTTCTTCTACTCCCCAAGCCCGGCCCGAGGCCAGGCTTGACTTGTGAGAGTTTGGTCCACCAGGCTGTTGCTTGGAGCGGCCCGCAGGCCCACATACCCACCACAGCCCGGTTGGTCCGGCACTCCTTGGAGGAATAAATCTAGTTTCCTCTTGAAGATGTCCACGGTTGTTCCGGCAATATTTCTTATGCTCGCTGGGAGGATGTTGAACAACCGCGGACCTCTGATGTTTATACAGTGTTCTCTGATTGTGCCTATGGCACCTCTGCTCTTCACTGGTTCTATTCTACATTTTCTTCCATATCGTTCACTCCAGTACGTTGTTATTTTACTGTGTAGATTTGGTACTTGGCCCTCCAGTATCTTCCATGTGTATATTATTTGATATCTCTCTCGTCTTCTTTCTAGTGAGTACATTTGGAGAGCTTAGAGACGATCCCAATAATTTAGGTGCTTTATCGCGTCTATGCGTGCCGTATATGTTCTCTGTATTCCCACTATTTCTGCAATCTCTCCTGCTCTGAAGGGGGAAGTGAGTACTGAGCAGTACTCGAGACGGGACAACACAAGTGACTTGAAGAGTACAACCATTGTGATGGGATCTCTACATTTGAAAGTTCTCGTAATCCATCCTATCATTTTTCTGGCTGACGCAATACTTGCTTGTTTATGCTCCTTAAACGTTAGGTCGTCAGACATCATTATTTCCAAATCCTTGACATGCTGCTTTCCTACTATGGGTACATTTGATTGGGTTTTGTACCCTGTATTATGTTTAAGATCCTCATTTTTACCGTACCTGAGTACCTGGAATTTATCACTGTCACACATCATGTTATTTTCTGTTGCCCAGTCGAAAACTTTATTTATATCTGCTTGAAGTTTTTCAGTGTCTTCAGCCGAGATAATTTTCATGCTGATTTTTGTGTCATCTGCAAAGGATGATACGAAGCTGTAACTTGTATTTTTGTCTATATCTGATATGTGAATAAGGAAAAACAGTGGTGCACGGACTGTACCTTGAGGTACCGAGGTCTAACTGCGCTTGGACTCGATATTATATGGTTGACTATTAGTCTTTGTGTTTTGATCGACAGAAAACTGAGCATCCAGCGTCCTACTTTACCGGTTATTCCCAATGACCTCATTTTGTATGCTATCACTCCATAATCACATTTATCGAATGCCTTTACGGAGCACGTGTATACGATATCTGCATTCCGTTTTTATTCAAATGCCTCAGTGATTTTGTCGTAGTGGTCAAGTAGCTGTGAGAGGCATGATCTTCCCGCTCGAAATCCATGTTGGGCTGGGTTGTGGAGGTCATTGGCCTCCATGAAACTGGTGACCTGACTCCTGATCACTCTCTCAAATGCTTTTTTTTTATGTGGACGTTAATGCAACTGGTCTGTAATTCTTTGCCAATGCTTTGCTCCCTCCCTTGTGTAGAGGGGCAATGTCTGCTGCTTGAAGCGCATCTGGTATCTCCCCCGTGTCCAAGCTCTTCCTCCACACTATACTGAGTGCCTGTGCTACTGACACCTTGCATATCATTATAAATATTGAATTCCAGGAATCTGGACCCGGGGCTGAGAGCATGGGCATGTTGTCAATTTCTCTTTCAAAATTTGGCACGGTCGTGTTGATATCAGTTATATTTACAGGTGTTTGGATATCACGCATAAAGAAGTTGTCCGGATCTTCCAACCACACGGGGTTGTTGTTCCCCGTGGTTGTTCACTGTAATAGTACCCCAGGGTTGTGTGTTGTTCCCCCGTGGTTGTTCACTACAGGTGACTGGGGGCCAGGAATGAAGTCATGATGATAACACAACACAAGGACGGGAAATTTTAACACAACAGCAATAAATTAATCATAAGAAGCAAGCAGACGATAACATCTTAAATAATCGCGAGGGATAAAAGCAGACGAGTTTAAACACACACACAAATGTTGCGTGTGTGTGTGTGTGTGTGTGTGTGTGTGTGTGTGTGTGTGTGTGTGTGTGTGTGTGTGTGTGTGTGTGTGTGTGTGTGTGTGTGTGTGTGTGTCATGAACCAGATGTGGGTTAATCAGAGTACAGTCAATGGCCCAGGTTACAGACACTATCAACAATAACATTGGAGTACTCACCCATACTGGCCTGGGAGCATGGTCGGGTACCGGACTCCTGTCAGTGGGATCCCTGCAACACAGAAACTACCATTAGTGAACTGTAATATAACTCGGCTCTTGCTGTAATAATATATACCTGGTCACTCTCATAATATAACCTGATTGTTGCTGTAATGCTGTATCATAATATTAATATAAAATAACCCATCAATATTGATGGTTAGGACAATACAGTTGGTTTATACCATACAATGCACCCACCCCTAAAATACAGTAATCTTGTATCTGATCTATCTGTGAACTACACCAAACCAACAATGCAGCTTTGCCAATCCTTGAAAATGCAAGCTGTCATGCCCACATCCCTGAAATACAATGAACATTGCAATGTATCTATCCCAAAAGGAGTGAAAATTGCAACACAACAAAGTGTTGTGTTGCAGGTGAACAGAAGCAGCAGCAACACAGAGCAGAGCCAAGACATAAAGCGCAGTTTCTCAGTCAATCTTGAGAAGAATTCTACTCCCCCAAGCCCGGCCTGAGGCCAGGTGTCTCTCATGGTCACCTGATCGACTGGACTGTTGCTCGCCACGGGCCCTCAAACCGTATGTTTGCTACAGCCACATTCTTTGTAATGGCCAAGAGAATATATATATATACAGCGCCAGAGTACGCGGGCCTGCGTGGGCTGGCCTACACCAGGCTGGCCATCTACAAGGAGCAGAAATAGCCAGAGGTTATGTAATGGCTGATATTTCACAGGTGTGTGATGAGTCACACATGTGTCGCAGATGTTTCTCGACACATGTGTGTGCCTCATAACATGCGCGCGCGAGAAAGAGAGAGAGAGAGAGAGAGGATGAGAGATATCATAAGAGAGAGAATGTGAGCGAGCGACACAGGCAGCGACAATGACAGAGGCAGGAGCAGCTTGGCACGGTGGAGTGGGGGCCCCACACGAGCTGGAGGGCCACGTATATCCCCCCCTCCCCCCCCTCCCATTCTTAATGGCACCCGGCAGTTGGCACTCGCTGCTCTCTCTCCTCGCTAACAGCCCCCCACCCTATCTCAGCTGAATTAAATTGATTTAAATACACGGTACACTATATGACCCCAGGGACGATATATGACCCCAGGGCAGGGTACGGTATATTATATGACCCCAGGGACGATATATGACCCCAGGGCAGGGTACGGTATATTATATGACCCCAGGGACGATATATGACCCCAGGGCAGGGTACGGTATATTATATGACCCCAGGGACGATATATGACCCCAGGGCAGGGTACGGTATATTATATGACCCCAGGACATAGTCGTGTGGACGGGGTATATACCATGACCCGAGATATTTTTTTCTACCGCAGACGTGGCCAGACATTTACAATGCTAACCAGCATATATACATTTTGTTAATGTCCTCCATGGACAGGGTGAGAGATCTATTGAAGACGAGGAGTCACAATAACGTGGCTGAAATATGTTGACCAAACCACACACTAGAAGGTGAAGGGACGACGACGTTTCGGTCCGTCCTGGACCATTCTCAAGTCGATTGTGAAAAGACTATTCTCACAATCGACTTGTGAATGGTCCAGGACGGACCGAAACGTCGTCGTCCCTTCACTTTCTAGTGTGTGGTTTGGTCGACGAGAGATCTGTTAAACATATAGTTCAGTGATTTATTGAACCAATCAACCATAGAAGGTGATTGTAGTGCTTTTAAAATGCTAATCTAACCTACATACCGAAATACATATATACACACACACATATTGGTGTATATAATATATATATATATATATATATATATATATATATATATATATATATATATATATATATATATATATATATATATATATATGAACGCGCCCAGTTGAATATATTTCTATATATATGCCGTTATCAGGATATAACGGCGTAAAACAGTAGCCAGAACGCACTCCCACGGACTACTATGCAAGGCCCTTCCCTTTCCCTAATAAGCCAGAAGGGGGGGGGGGAGGAAGGGGCACCCTAATTTTTCTCAATACAATGATCCAGACGACCCAAAGCGTGTCCACTATGATGTAGAAAAATTTTTATTGGAGTTACAAATTAACGTAGCATATGCCGTTACCTAACCAACCCTACCTAATCATAACGTCACTTTTTAGTGGTTAGGTAGCCGACAAAGTTCGGTTAGGTTAGGTTAGGTCCGTCCTGTCCACACCTTAATTCCTGAAACACCGTGGCTTATTAGGCACACCGGGCCGTGCATAGTAGGCTGAGACCGTCCGTCCTGGCTACTAGGTACGACGTCCTGTATATACCGTCCGTCCTGTCCATATATTCCGTCCTATCCACACCGTCCGTCCTATCCATATATATATCCTGTCCATATATATATATATATATGACACCTTCCGTCCTGTCCACAGTTTCCGTCCTGTCCACACCAGGAGTCCGGCGATAACACCGTCCGTCCTGTCCACACCGTCCGTCCTGTCACACACCCCCCCCTCCTGTCCCTATCCCTCCGTCGTGTCCAGGGGGGGAGTCCTGGGCACACCGTCCGTCCTGTCCACACCTTCCGTCCTGACCACAAGCGTGTCCACTCTCTGTCCACCCTTCCGTCCTGTCCACACCTTCCGTCAATGTCTGTTACTACGTTTTCTCCACACATGTCCTGTCCACACCTTCCGTCCTGTCCACACAGCTTCGTCTCCTGTCCACACCGTCCGTCCTGTCCACACCTTCCGTCCTGTCCACACCTTCCGTCCTGTCCACACCTTCCGTCCTGTCCACACCTTCCGTCCTGTCCACACCGTCCGTCCTGTCCACACCGTCCGTCCTGTCCACACCTTCCGTCCTGTCCACTCACTGTCACTCAAAACACGGAACCACTCCTCAAGCATCTGCTATCTGCCATAACAGGATCAGATATCACTAACTAACTACTATATCCCAACACACACAATATCAGCCACCAGTTCTCTGGCTACAGCGCGAGGGGGGGGGGGGGCTGAGGCCCCGGGCCGGCCGTCTACAGATATAAGGAAGGTCATCGATATAAGGACGATATAAGCAAGATATAAGGAAGACACTGAGAACCGCTCCATGTGTGGCAGTGCACAGTAGAAGGCTGGACTTACATGTTCGTCCATTGGAACATGTATGCTGTCTAATGTAGTAGATTGTAACCCATGATGTATGTGCTTCAGCCTACAGTATAGACCTATTGTCTTGTGTATGATCCTCTGTCCTGGGTGACACTGAATGATAGCACTATCCTCACTCTAATAAGACCTAATTGAATTACAAAGATTAGTCAAAATTGCAATAAATTTGTGTAAATAAAGATGTTAATAATAATAATAATAATAATAATAATAATAATAATAATAATAATAATAATAATGAGAGCAGGGGAGAAATGTCTGGGAGTTAGAAGAGGGCTGAGTGTGCGCCAACCAAGCGAGAGAGGCAGGAGATGCTGAACTACAGGTCAGTGTTCCAGTACAACACGCAGCAGAGTGATGGAACACATTGTGAGGGCCAGACGAGGCACTTACACGGGTTCATGGACAGTAAATTGTATCTCCACATAATTATATTGTGAGGCTGTACAATCTGTCACGACAGAGTAGGATGCGCAGGTTGTATATTTATGAGCTATCAGAGAGCGCTTTGGTAGAGTGCCAAGCATGAGGCTCGCCCACAGGTTGGAGGAACACGCTACACTAAGAACATGCTACACTCAATGCAATGTCTATCAATGATCAGGCAATCTAAACGAGGTTTACATTCATCAAACAAGTGATCAAAGAGGCAAGGCTCGGGGTTCCACAGTTGTAGCCCCTGGAACCTCAACTATTCCTGACTTGTGTGAATTGCCTCCACGAGTAAACAGAACCCTTCTTGTCGCTAGTGACGCGGAGACTCCTGTGTCGCTAGTGACGCGGAGACTCCTGTGTCGCTAGTGACGCGGAGACTCCTGTGTCGCTTGTGACGCGGAGACTCCTGTGTCGCTAGTGACGCGGAGACTCCTGTGTCGCTAGTGACGCGGAGACTCCTGTGTCGCTAGTGACGCGGAGACTCCTGTGTCGCTAGTGACGCGGAGACTCCTGTGTCGCTAGTGACGCGGAGACTCCTGTGTCGCTAGTGACGCGGAGACTCCTGTGTCGCTAGTGACGCGGAGACTCCTGTGTCGCTAGTGACGCGGAGACTCCTGTGTCGCTTGTGTCCTGTGTCGCTAGTGACGCGGAGACTCCTGTGTCGCTTGTGACGCGGAGACTCCTGTGTCGCTAGTGACGCGGAGACTCAGTGACGCGGAGACTCCTGTGTCGCTAGTGACGCGGAGACTCAGTGACGCGGAGCTGTGTCGCTAGTGACGCGGAGACTCCTGTGTCGCTAGTGACGCGGAGACTCCTGTGTCGCTAGTGACGCGGAGACTCCTGTGTCGCTAGTGACGCCTGGGGCCTCACAGCGGGGCCTGACAGCTGAGTAGACAGCGCTCAAAATTCGTAGTCCACAGCTTCCGGGTTTAATCCCCGATGGAGGCGGAAACAAATGGGCAGTTTCTTTCACCATGATGCTCCTGGTACCTAGCAGTAAATAGGTACCCGGGAGTTAGACAGCTGTTATGGGCTGCTTCCTGGGTGTGTGTGTGTGTATTCACCTACTTGTGTTTGCGGGGGTTGAGCTTTGGCTCTTTGGTCCCGCCAAAGTGTGTGTGTGTGTGTGTGTGTGTGTGTGTGTGTGTGTGTGTGTGTGTGTGTGTTTACTAGTTGTGTTTTTACGGGGGTTGAGCTTTGCTCTTTCGGCCCGCCTCTCAACTGTCAATCAACTGTTTACTAACTACTTTTTTTTTTTTTTTTTTTTTTTTTTATTTCCCACCCCCCACACACACACACACCCCAGGAAGCAGCCCGTGACAGCTGACTAACTCCCAGGTACCTATTTACTGCTAGGTAACAGGGGCACTTAGGGTGAAAGAAACTTTGCCCATTTGTTTCTGCCTCGTGCGGGAATCGAACCCGCGCCACAGAATTACGAGTCCTGCGCGCTATCCACCAGGCTAC